ATTCTATCTTCATTTATTTGCTTGAATAATTCTACCTCATCTACTAATTCTATCATTTTTTCATTGTTTTAGCTGTAACAATTCTATAAAGAGAAAATGCCACCTCATCCACTATTGGTTATTTATTGGTACAGTCTGCAAAAGAAAAGCAGGTTTAATATTCTGTTTATTTACAGGTATTGCAAATAATGGATTGATAACTAGCATTCTCCAAAGATGATTAATTAGCCTTTAAAATATCACTTAAAATTCAGTTTTAAATACATTTGATCAATTGTAGTTAATGTGTTTATTGATGCTTAGATTGTCATATTTGGCCAGTGGAAACCTCTTCTAATTGTGTCTTGAGTCCTTTGGACCTGACCTTAATTATAGCAAGCTTCTCTGCTATCAGGCATGACAGGATATTCAAACTCAATTTGTACATTTTCTGCCCCAACTCTTTTTGTGAGAGCTCTAGTTCCTTTAAGTGAGAAATGATATCAAGAGATGTCAATTTGGGTGCTGAGTTTGTTCATTGCTCCTGGATCTGTGATGGTTTTGCAGAATTTTCACTGTACAGACTGAATTATAAGCTCACACTGATAGTAATTCAGAAACATGAGTTCATATTGATATAAATATTCCATGGACATGTAAAAACCATGGGGCATTTAAGTATCAGGAGCTTTTATTTTATTTAACATGTCCAACTTAAAACTTTATCACATTTTTAATCCATGTTGTGAGTCCCAGTTTTTATTAGCACCAGGAATGGTAGAATTAAAATATTAAATAAATACTTATTTGCTTTCTCCACAAAACGCAATCAACAATCTCAGAATAGCAATACCAATACGTAGTATAATTTCTCAAAATAATTTTAAGGTTTGTTTTTTATATTTTTTATATATTTCACTACTTTATTTTATTTCATCACTTGGGGGTAAATCTTAGTTGTACGGTAATGCCATCAACTGGAATATATATTTAAGTTATTTTGTTTCAGTTATTTTTAATACTTAGGTATACATTTTTTTTTGTTATATCACATGCAAAATATTTAAATGGTTCCAAAGACAATACAAGGTGTATTCAAATAAGTCTAGTTTTTATTTTTGATCCCCTTACTCTTTTTTAATCTTACATTATAGGTAACCATTTAAAAATATTTTGTATTTATTTATTCCTTTACCTTTAAAATCTAAGCATTTTAGCATTTGTGTTACCATTTTTAAACAGTAGCATACTATACTCACATTTATCCAACTTGCTGTTACTATTCACATCATAAATCTCACTCTATAGTAATATATAGAGATATTCCTCATTCTTTTTTATAGCTGCATTTAGTACTCTATTGTGTGAGTGTAATTGGTTATTCAACCATTCCCCTTTTGATTAACATTTATGTATTTTGTTGTTACAAATAGTTCTAAAATGAAGAGTCTTATGCACACTTTTTTAAACATGCTTTTGCTAGTGAGATTTTTAGAAGTAGGGATTCTGAGCTAAAAGATATGTGCATATGTAATATTGCTGGGTATTGCCACATTCACCTTCCACACGGGTATTCTATTTTGCATTCAAATCAGCAACATATGGGAATGCCTTTTCCTCACAGTCTCACTAATTATTTTTTTTCCTTTTTTTGAAGTTTTGTCATTTTAACATGTAAAAAATAGCATATCAGTAAAGTTTTAATACACATTTTTTTTCATTATGAGAATGGTTAGCATCTTTTTACATGGTTAAGAGTCATTTGCAACTTTTTTCCACAACTATTTTTTTACTTCATTTTTTATAGCTTTGTTCTTTTTTTCTATTTTTAAAAGTTCTTTATATATTAAAGATATTAATGCTTTGTCTTTGATATGAGTTGCAAAGATTTTTTTCAAATGTATTCTTTGTACTTTCCTTTATAGTATCTTTTACTATGGAAAATTTTTAAAATATGTAATCAAATTTATTTTTTACCTTATTTTTTCTGAATTTTTCTGAAATTTGCATCAGAAGTTGGAAGACTTTACCCATTCTCTCTCTGTACAAAAAGATTTTTACCAATGTTTCTTCTGTACCTATATGGGTTCATCAGTTTTTCATTTAAATTTCTGACCTATTTAGAATTTACCATAATGTATAGTTTGAGAATGGATAAATTTTATCTTTTTTTCCACATCCCAAAATCACTTATTCAAAAGAAAGCTTTTTTGAATCCTTTTACTCACTGAGATGTTCTTTTTAAAAAAAACTTTTAAAGATACATATATAATTGAGTTTATTTCTTGAATTTGTTCTGTTTTGTTTTTTAGTTTACCCATGGGCTGTCATTATGCTATTGAGAGAAAGAAAAATAAAATATTTGAAAACATTTGGTAGGGCTCTTCTTTCTGCTTTTTTCAGGATTTTCCTGGCTATGCTAGTTTTCAATACTTTCAAATGATATTTACGATAACTTCTTTTGCTCCCAAAAAACTAATGGTATATTTTATTGGAATTGTATTGTTTGTAATTTAACCTAGGAACAGTTATCTTTCTGCTTTTGAGTCTTTTAATGCAAGATTATAGTATGTGTTTCCATTTATGCAAACCCACTTTTTGTATGTTAGCATTCTTTTTATAGTTTTTCTCATACGTTCTTTGGACATACTTTGTGATCTTTATGTCTATTTTCCTATCTCTATATGAGTACAGATGAGGTCTTCTATCTTCTGATTTCTGTTGGTATATAGAAGGGCTATTAGCTTTACATGGTTATACTTTTCATATTTTTATCCAAAGAGTTTTGTCATCTTAGGTTTTCCATTGATTATCTTGGTTTTCCAACTTGTCATTTGTAAATAAACAGTTTTACTTCTTTCTTTCCAATTCCTATGCCTTTAAATGTTTTTTGTTGTCTAAATGTATTTCTAAATTGTATTGGAAATATGGTCCTGTTTTTTTTGTTGTTGTTGTTGTTGCTGTTGTTCCTCATTTTAGGAAAGTTTCCAGTATATTTCACAATTAAGTAAAATAGTGACTTTTGAGCTGAGGAACGTACACACACACACCATGTTAAAGTATCTGTTCACTTTTTTAAAAATATGAATAAATGTTAGACTTTATCAAATACATCTTCTGCCATCTATGGATATATCACATGCTTTTTCTCTTTATCAATATGATAGATTACACTAAAGAAATTTCTTATGTTGAATCACACTTTCCTGGAATAAACTACACTGGTTAAGACATGTTATATTTATGCAGTGCATATTTGGCATATATGCTATGTATGCTATTATAAATTCACATATAAATATTCATATGCAACATTTATGTATTGATTTTGAAATTATTATTTAGTAGTTGCAAGAACCAGAATTCAAAGAAATAATATTTATTAGAAGGCACAGTATTTTCTCCACTTATCCCTTAGATTTCCATGGCCTTCTTTATAAATTGCTCTTTAAACATATCTCATCTTACTTTATGTTATACTTTGTTATAAATATTTCTATGTTTCTTACTAGATGTAGTTTCTTTGAGGGACAGAGACTATATTTTCCTCCTTTTTCCTGCGATAGCCCAAATGCATCAGCGCCTAGAACATAAATGGAACTAATTTTTTGTTGTTGTTTAATTAAAATAGGGCCTGAATTTTAAAATATAGGTGTGAGATTATTTTTTAAGTAGGATAAATTATAGTTGCAAAGTGATGATTTTATTTTCTAGTGTAGCTTTGAGAATCATTCAGAACAGAAGTCTAGCAAATTGTATCTTGTATGCTGAGAATCACTGAGCATACAAAGTCATGATACCATGCACAAGTGTAAATCCTAGAACTCCAGGTAACCAGGCCAAGACTGAAGCAAAGAATGTGGAGATGAATGCACAAAGAAATGAGGCACCAGATTATGAAGTCCTTCATAGGGTTTCATTAAGAAGTTTGCTTTTATTTTGTAAGCAAAGGGGAAATTTTCACAGAAAGATTTTTGTGTTAGATGACCCCCCTGGTAGAAGAATAAATGATACATTCATGATAAAGGGATGGTGATAGTGGTGGAAGTGGTGATAAGGAAAACCTAGAGAAATAAAAAATGTGAAAAAGGTAATTTAGTCCAGAATTAAGAAAGCCTTAACAGGAAAGGGTATTCTGGAGATATTTAACATGTAAAACAAATATAATGTAGAGAATTTAGTGAAAAATGGAATGTTTTGAGTGAGCAGAAGGAATCCTACTGAGTAAAAGAAATCTTAGTAAATTGCCCAAATTCCAGACTTTGGTAATTGAATGGTCTCTTGTGCCATTGCTAATATGAAATTTATAGCGCAAGGAATAGACATTGAAGGGGTAGAAAATGGAGTGTTTGGAATGAGTGTTTTAAAATACAATCAATGATTAAAGGGAGATTTAATTACTTTAATCTGTTATTATAATTAGTAGCTTATAAAGTATTTATTTAATTTTTTATGAAGGTAGGTAATTTTCCCTATTTTACAGATATATACATTGAAGATCACAGAGGATAAGATTTGGTACAAGTTGCATAGCTAGAAATCATCAGAACTTTGACTTAAACACACTCGTTCTGACTCCAAATTCTAAGGAATCACTACGTCTTGCTATAGGAAAATTGAATCATTCACATAATTTAGAAAGCTTTGCATCATGGGTAAAAAGAAAAATGGTATTCCTGTTACCTCTAATAAATAGAACTTCAATTGGTCAGAACATTTTTTGCATAGCTCACTTCCTAAATGCTGTAATGTCTTACAAGTGTTTTATATATTCATGCAACAGAATCTTCCTCAGGAAACATTATGACAGAAGTATGAAGGCATGCATACTGTAGCAATCATTTTGCTCCCTAGTTATATCTGAAATCAATCTATTAAACTCACAAGTTAGCTAACACACTGTCAGATCTGTTTACCTACAAGGTTTTCCTTGTAATTCTTATGTGGAATTATCTCTGTTTCTGAACCAAAAATGGAAGAATTAGAGAATGAAAATATTTCTTCTCCAAATGTTCACTTACCTCTGTTTGCCTTTGTGATCTACAGAGCCAGCTGAGAGTCTGTCCAGGGGAGAACCAAAACCAGAGAAGCTCCTTTTCTTCTTTGTTTCAATCACATCATTCTCCAGAGATACAAGTTCATCAAGAAGCATGAGTTTTGCTGCCAGATCAGCTGCTGATTTCTCTTCCCTGGCTGTGGTTGGTGACTGCATGTCTCTGACTCCAGAATCAAAAACCTATTGGGCAGGAAAGGTGACTCTGTTCATAAGGAAGAACTCAAGTACATTCAATCACCTGTACTTGGCTTTTGCTATCTTTAGCTGACATGTTTGTCATGAAATTTGACCTCTTGTAGAGTTACCATCTAGAAAGAAAGACTTTGGAGACAAAAACACATAGAGGTAGGTATACCCATGAGAAACTGAAGGAAACCCAAACAAAACACAAACACAAAAAATTCCAACCCTGCCTCTAAAATTTAGTACATTCGCTGATCGTTCTTTCAGATTCTTTTCCAGTTTTAATTGCATCCCTCCTTATCATTGCCACAGCACTTTAGCTATATGTCTTTAATCACTGAGCTCGCTACATTTTCCTTTGTATTAGAATGGTTACAATATATTTGTGTTGCATCTTATTTTGTCAGCAACTTGAAGGCAATGACTATGTCTAATTAGTCTTTTATTTTCCCTATTCAATGCCTATTCCAGTATTTTGCTCATTAGTACTCAATAAATTTGTGATAAATATTTATTTAATTAATTCTTAATTAAACTAAACTTCATGATTTTTTTTCACCACTCATGCATTCCTTATTGCTTCAAGCCAACAAGCATCCACTATGTTCCAGGTTCTGCATTAGGCCTAAGGGATACAAAAATGAACAAAATCCAGTCATTGCCCTCAGGGAGCTTACAACCCACATTTGTGATTTATTAACAAGTATTAACGAGTGTTTGCAATGAATCAGAGCTATCCCAATGACTTTATTGTCCCATGTAACATTTCTTGTTTATTTGTATGTCACACATACTGCCACTTTGTACTTTGTCCAAGTCGCAAAAGTATGGGTGTCCAGCTTGTGAAGTTTGTCGTTTCCTCTCCTAGGCCCAATCACAGTATTTTTTAAATGCTCCTACTAACAATCTTGAGTTATTGTGGAGGCCAGGAGATACTTCTTTTTCAAGATCCTGAGAATATCCCTATGGGAAGCAATTTAGCTCCGGGGATCTCTTTTCTATTCCCCTTTAATTAAATTCTCCATGTGCCAGGTTCTTGGTCTCTTTTTCTTTGCTTCCTGCCTTTCTTTTTGAATTATTTCTTCCATTCTCTTATTGTCTCCAATAAAACAAAAGAGTAGCGTTTTCCAAGCCTTTTCAGGTTGACTCCCGCAAACCTCTTTTGAAACACTTATAGTCTGACACATGGACTCAAAGCTATTGAGCCTCCTGTTTTCCAAACCAATCGAATCTGCAGTAAGTCTGGTCAGTTCTTCCTGGGAAATCTTTCTTGTTTCTGCTGTTTCTGATTCTCATTAGTAGTGACTTTTGTCAGGTCTTCCTCATTGGTTAGTGTACACTCTTAATCACCTTATAACTTGTTTTTCTATCTTTTCTATCCCTCTCTTTTCGATCTTATCCTTAATAGTGCCATGAAGTTAATTATCCCCCAACACCACTTTCATATAAAGAGAAAGTTAAAAATCTTTTACAGCTCTTTGTTACTTACAGTGCAAATTCTACAATATGGTTCCAAACTCCTCTTAAAATCTCAGTTTCTATCACTTCCTTATATAAGACTGACAGCATAGAAACTGGAGAAGGGAAGAAAGCTATAATCATGAAAAGAAACGGAAGAGCAGGAGACAAACATTCAAAGGGCAAAGATAGATCTTTTACTATCTCTCAGTATATCCTCCAAAAAATGTTTTCATTTTTTCAACTGACATACGTACAAAATAGAGTTTTGTTTCTTTTTAAAGATATTAGTAAACCTCAAAAAACATTATAGAACTCAAATAAAACTTGTTCTATGGTAAATGCATTTCAGACTCTCGCTTTATGTTATTTAACAAGTACAAAGAATATGTATTTCTAAGAAGATCAAATAAACCAAATTAACTTGTCTTTCTGTGAAGATGTCTTTGTATTTCTTTTCCTTTGTATTTTTGTCATGGCAGGAAGAAAACATTTGTAATGTAACAAGAATTTTGGCCAAAAGCACTCAAATTTTGACATGTAAACAATTTCAAGTTTCACATAAAGCACTTTAACTTTATGTAATTGATTTAATTATAAATATGGCTGCAATTAAATAAATTTTTTCTTATGACTTTTGTTCAAGGGATAAAATCTTTCTTTTTACTTCCAGTTTTCCAGGGTTTTTTTTTTAAGATTCCTGTTTTTCTCTGATTCCACAGTGAGGATATGACAGACAAAAATGCTAATTTCCTTGATTTTGTGTTATCAAGGCATCTCCTTATTTGTAGTAGCACCTGCTTCTGACATTAGTAGAAATGGCTTATGTTCATAAATAGTACAGTGGTCCCTTAAGTTAGTTTTTATTACCTCTGTTGCTGCATCCACTGAGAGCACTTTGCCTGAGGTCCACAACATCAATGTTACAGCCAGGATCCAATGTGCACTTGCCAATCTCCAGTCCAGCATCTAAGGGTCACATCCATCAGGGTTAACATTTATGAGTTTGGCATATAAAGATAGAAAATAAAACTCCAATAAAGCTTGTTATAGGCAGATGATAAACCATACTATTCAGCTTCTATATACTGCAATGCACCTTTTCAAAACTTAACTGATAGTTAATATGAGCTGTCAATCTCCTAGAATGAATTCTATCAAGGCTTCATTTCCATGGAAAAATAGATTGGTATTATACAGCTATCATCATAATTTAATTCAAAGTAACCCAAGTCTGAGAAAAACTCAAGTCTAGTTTGTGTAACTTTATTGTTTGACTGTCTACTTTAGGGATTAGAGCCTCATATACTGAAGGGGAAACACATAAAATTGGTCAGGTATGAGAAAATAAGGCCTGGTGAGGTCTGTGGTGAACCAGAGAGAAAGTGCTATGTCTAAAAGAATTTAAATTCAAAATGTCAAAAAACACCACAGTCCCAATAGGAAAATATCTTTATGATTTGTGATATGTAAGGATTTCTTAAGCAAGATTCAAAAGGTATATCCCTTATAGAAAATATTGTCAAATTTCATTATATCAAAATTGAACACTTCCATATAAGCTACAATAAACAAAATAAAAGACAAACTACATAATGGAATATATTTCCAACAGATATATATAAAAAGAATGATTAGCATTTGGAAAATTTAAATAACTCTGACAAATAAAATTCTAAAAATAGACACACAATTAAGTAAAAATGGGCCTATGTGTATAAGGATACATGCATTTGAAAGTTCATAGCCTCATTATTTATAATAGCAAAAAACTGGAATCAACCCAAGTACCCTACTCAAGAGAAATGGATTTATTGATTGATGTATAGTCATGCCATGGCCTTAAAACAAATGACTTAAACATATATATATTCACTGTTAAAACAAATGACCTAAATGCTATATGTATTTACATGAATAGATTTCTACAAAACAGTTTTGAGGGAAATTAGAATTTTTAGAAAAATACATATGGCATGCTACCATATATATATAAATTGAAAATACACAAAAGAATTCTATTTTGAAGTCTATACATATAATGGAAGTATAAATGAATGCAACTTGATTTAGGACTGTGATTGCCTCTGGGGAGAGTGGGAAGTAAATATGAATATGGAGGAAACATTAAGGGGCTGAATTTTTACCTATATATAAGGAAATATATCAAAATATTAACATTTGTGGTAACCATGGAGATGTCATTTATACATTTTTTTTTATATTACAAACCACTGTACATCCAATTAAAGCTTAACTATGATCTGTATCGGGCCTGTTGGCTGCCAGTTCAGCCTCTCGTAAGAGGCGAAGCCCTGCCGGACAGAGGGAAGGTTACAGGCTCTGAGTTACAACAGAATGGGCTTGCCTTTCTTTGTCCTCTAGTATGACATGGAGAAGTCCTCCAGTCTATCTTTTGTGAATTTTTGTGAATTTTTGAGAAGTCTTAGTAAACTTCTATTACCTTTTTAAAAGATCATTTGGAAACATGCTAGGAGCAAAAAGAAAGGGATGCTAGGATGAATCTGAATAACTGGCTTTGTGTCTTGTTTTTGCATTAGTATTAATGTGACATTGGGTATGTATCATTTAACTTACTTGAGCCTTATTTTCCATGTTTGTGAAGTGAGGAGTAATTCTCACTTCAAAAGAGCTTTGTGAGGGTATAACTGATTCATGTATAATCTTTTAATCTCATATAGTGTTTATAATTTGTAAGTGAAAGAGCATATATGAGGTATTACTAAATATTTCTTTAGTAACTACATTCTCTTTGGTGTGACCCAAGGTTTTCTGTATGGCACTTTCTAAACATATTGCGATGGTGAAACCTCAGTGTAGATTTTAGTAATAAATGTTATCTGCTAGAATATAGACAAATACATGTGTCATGTAAATAGAGTAGCATCTGTATTAACCACGTAGTATTACTAAAACATAAAAGGGAGATAAAAAAATGTATTTAAACACTCATAATTGAAGTCTTTATTTTATGTACAAAGAGCTGACGTTGTTTCTGCAGTAGATAGCTTGCATGATTCATTCATGGAAGTTCACTTAGTCCAACTTAATGAAGCCTGTATCCTTCGCAGACTGACGGAAACACTGGGGACACATATTGAGGCCGTATTTCCGGATTAGACCAAGAAACCTGGTGGAAGTTTCTTGGATGGCTCCAGTAGAGCTGCTGGTGACCCATCTTTCTCTCTTGGATGCAATGAGGTAAAAAAAAGCGGAGATAAAATATTTTACCATTGTCTATTACATTATCTTAATTTTCGTAATGCAGATTATAATTCTCTGTAATCTTAATATTCATGTAGTGCAGTCTCAATTAGTTCTTTATTATGGCCCCAATTGATCTATTTTGGAATCTTGTCACATAATATTAATCACTAGCTGCTTCTCTGTATTTCACCCTTTTGGGAAGAGGGCAGTGAATCCTCTCTGTATTCTAATCCTGACAAATTGATATTTGAGCTGAGTGTTTTGGTAAATGTCAAAAAAAATACAAAAAACAGAACAAACCCCAAAAACCTCAATAAGTCATGATTATTACAATAACCGTAAGTCTTTAAATTGAGACAATAGAAAAATAACGAGAAAGAATGCAATGTTATCTGGTAAAAAATACCAACCCAGGGCCGGCCGAGTGGCGCGATGGTTAAGAACTGGCTTGGGATGCCAGAGGGCCCCAGTTCGGATCCCACATATGAGGGCCAGTGACACTGCCCACCACAGCTAAGATGCTGAACAACAGCTCAACCTGCAGCTGGGCTGCCCAGAGTCGCCTGCAACAGCATAGGCTGTAGCCCCTGTGGCAGTGGGTTGCCATGGGCTACCGTGTGTAGCCAGCAGCCAGCGTGAGCGGCCAGCAGCCGCAGTGAGCGGCCGTCAGAAGACGGCGACTGATCTTCCTCGCCGGAGAAGAGCGCAATGATGGTGCCAACTTGGGCCAGTGAAACAACGTCCTCCACAACTAGACTGAAGAACAAAAAGGCAGCAACTTGCCTGTTCCCCTTCCCCCAATTCCCCAGCACTGTTCCCATCCCCCAATTCCCCAATAAAAATCTTAAAAAAAAAATACCAACCCAAAACTGTATTGCCTATTCCTTTAGAACGTCAGCTACTGAATCATATATTTTCCTTCTGATTTTGCTGATGTCTCTTACTTTCCTTAACAAAAAGGAAGCTATATTAAAGACATAACTGTATTTTAAAAATTATCTCATATTTCTGGCATCGCTCTTGTTTTAAAAATAAAATAGCTCTCCCATTCAATCAAAGATAAACTACAATTGTGATGTTTTTCTTCCTCGTTTTTTATCATGTTAAAAACAGTTTACAAAGTATGAAACTGCCCAATTTTATAAGCCTTTCCATGTGGATTTCCTTTAACTATTTTTATGCACGTTTTACTAACCAGGTTTTTCTTCATCTCTACCAATCTTATGAATGGCACAGGATGATGGGTGTTTACAATATTGATGATTATGTCTGAAGCCTATATTTTTATGCTTGGGTGTATATAGGAAAAAAGTCATAATGTATCATCTTACAGATAACCACATCCTGATTATTTGGATAGGGAGATGTAAAAATAAATGCTGAGTTTAAATACACACATTTAATGGTTTAAAGCCATGCTTGTAGCCAGTTAACCAAAGGCCAAGTTCCTAAATATGGCATTTGGTACACTAATGAAAACAAACACCCTGGCACCTGCCACACAAAAGACATTTGATTAACTAGTTGAAACTGATTGCTACAAAATTAGAAACAGAGGAAATTATAGGGAGGGAAGGAAAAGACTAGGTTCAGCTCCATTTCCCTATTTTGTTGATAGTGGATAAATATAGCCCATGATTTAAAAATCTGCTCAGCCCTATGTACACTCCAGATCACAGAAAGAACACTCAAAGGATTTTCATTGTGTGAACACACCAAAGTGGATGTGTTTGCAATTTTTTCAGTACACCAATAATTTTTATTGAGTAATTTTTGAATAATATTCCTTTGGGTAATAAGGAACTTTAAAAAAACAGTGGGCATGAGACCTGCCTTAAAAGATTTGGTGTATATTTCATTTTTAGCTAGTTGGTCTACTATGTGCATGCACTTTCGCTTTTTAAGTAATGCTGTTGAATAAACATCTTATATTGTGTAACAACTTATCCTTTGTATAAAAGACTTTTCATGTTTAAGATCTCGTTATATCTGGAAGAGATCCTCCATTCTGTGGCTGGAGTGGTGGTAGAAGAAGCAAGGTGGGGAGATGTGAAGTTTTATCATTTAAATTCGGGAAACAACATATTTTGTATTATATTCCTTTAGAACAGTGACAGTGCATATTGACATAATAAAGGCTCTGAAAGTAATGGGTTTAATTATATTTAAACCAGAATTAACTGAGAAGTCTGTTAAAATGAAGAAAGATGATTGCATTATTGAGAATTAGCACTGAAATGAGGCATTACTACTGTGAAAAAAATCCATTCAGTGGGTTGGGCAAAAAGATTGAGAATCGCTGATCTAATTAAAAAAAAAAAAGGAATAAGGGGAAGTGTTAGCGTAAGAGAGGATTAAGCTAAAAAAGAAAAAAGAGAAGCAATGTCAGTATGTGATCTAATGTACTTTAACACTAGTGCCACTTTTAAACTATCTGCCTTTGAGGACTGGTATTGAAGAAAAACAAAGTGCTCAGGTGATTAAGGAAATTTATCTTGAAGAACATCTGACTTATGGGTACTAGATCTAACCATTAGACACTCATAAGAAGGCTGAATATTGATAACTTCTGGGAATTTTTATTTACTCTAATTTCTTAGTTGGAAATAATTCAAAATTGATTCTACCCATCCTTATTTACAATAAAAATTAAAAATAAAGGAATTAAGTCAAAATAAAGGACTTAAAAAGTAATTCATTTTTTTTTATGCTCTCTTCACACTTTGACAGAGCAGACATTT